AGTTTGGGTTTTTTAAATGATGAGCTCTGATATATGCTATATGGATCCTTTTACACAAGTGATGCAGAGCTCAATGCGTTTTATTTAAAATTCTGAAAATAGCTTTGTTTTGCGTTTTAGGCTGCAACGTACTGTCAGCAAACAGCTTGTTTTAGTGATGTAAGTGTTTAAAGAATCTTCACATGTTTCGAAAAGTAATCTTTTTCCTTTCTGAAAAGTATGCCTCTTAAAAGTACTAGTTTGAGAGGGTAATTCAGTTTAAGTTGTATATGGACCACAAGAACCGAAAGTTATTTACTAGGCAGAATAACTGGTGGCTGACACTTAAGTTATAAGAGAAGTTGGGAGCATTTGAATCATAGAGAATATATATATGCAGTTGTGCTACTTTAATGACTCCAAGATACTGACAAACAGTCATATCTGCAGATTGTGTTTTGACAGAGGAGTTGAAATAACTTTCCTGCGCTGGTTTACAGAAAACTGTCACTGTGATAATTTTCTTGTGAAAGTATTCCAGCTAGACTGCACTTACTCAGTCGGCAGTTTTAGCCAGAAATAGATTTCTCTGTATCTCACGTCATTGCAGTCTGGATCCTTCATGTTTGTTGCTTATTTTTCTTTTGTCTGCACAGTGATCTGAAGAATTACTGTAGCACTTGTCTTAAAAATGTCATTGTTTCAGAAGCCTCCTTTAAGTTCATGTCATCTGTTTATGGTGAGCCCTGGGTATCCTGGGCGTTGCAGGACGTGATGGCACACCTGCAGAAAGTAGTTTTGCAGACTGGCTGACCTTTCAGTATTTATGTAACAAAAATATTTTCCTGGTAATACAGGCTGAGAAGAAAGCATTGTATGCGTCCAGATAGTCAGTGCATGATGGCATGGATGTAGATATGTAGACTAACAAAATATATGTAATTTTAACTAGTGACTTAACCTATCCTAGGAAAAGGAATGATTGAGTGTAGTTCCTGTTAAGCTTTTTCTGGGGCTACTAGTCACCTTGCACACTCCTGTAATTCTTTGGAAATAGGATTTTACAGGAGTAATATCTTCTGGGAATACATTATTTTATGCCTTTTTCTGATCTTGCAGGTATGCTTAGAGGCTGCGTGCATATACACATGTACACACACATACACGTGCATGTACACGTGTTGTTATAACCTTTAGCGTTATGGAGCATTAATTCAGCTGCCTGGCTTTGAAACCCCGTGTACTTTAAATATGTTGTTGATGCGTCTCCGGCGACATAAAGTTACTTGTCACGACCTGGGAAATACGTTTAAAATCGGAAGGCGGTTGCTGTTGTGCGGCCGTTGGAAGGTGACGCTGCCGTTGGGAGCTGGGAGGGCGCCCCCTGCTGCCCAGTGCCGGGGCCGGCACCGCTCGGTCCCTCTCCTGGGCTCTTCCCCGAAGAGGAGCTTCCCGAATAGCGTCGGGGGTGCCTTGGACACAATCACGGGGAAAAACTGATTAAAAAAAATAATCACCGCATGTGTGGGACAGATTTTTAGCAAAAGGCATTAACTGCTCCCCTGCCAAATAGCTGAATGGTAACGTAGCCCTAGCCGTCCAGTGATGGGGACGGGCCTTTCCCACGCGTGGCGGAGGTTTAAAGCAGCCACGTTTTATGGTGTGACCCTGAGGCGCGGAGGAGCGCTCCGGCCCTCAGCGCTGAGGCTCTAAGCGCTCCAAGAGGATGACCTGGCGGCAGGAGCTCCGGCCAGGCCCCGCTCGGTGGTCTTGTCCGAGCCGTGGAAGTGTTTGGCCTTGACAAGCTGGTCGCGTGACCACTGCTGGGCCAGAAATAAAGCAAAATGCCGCGTTGGCAGCCTGGCTCTGCAGCCTGCGCGGCTAACCTGGGTTTGGGGCAGAGCAGTCCCGGGAGGAAGCGAACCCAGGGCTGCTTGTTGTTGCCTTCCGCCTATAAATACAGAGATTTGGGTTCTACTGCTAAGGATCACCTTAATTTTAAAATAAATACTTAGAATTCATGCATAAAAGCTTGTTTTTTATATGCAAGTTCTCTTTTGCCTTTCTAAAATTTGTTCAATACTTTGCTAGACTGATGACTTTTAATTCTGGTCTCATCCAAGAATGCTTTTTAAAATGCAAAGTTAATCTGACTTATTAGATTTATTTGATAATCAAAAAATGTTTGTACACAGTTGGATGTATGTGTGCATACAGAGGAGGATGCATGTTTCTATATGCAGATTGGTTTATGTTTTGGGTTTTTTGTCCTAAGTGCAAATGGGCGAGTTGTTGTGGGGTATGTTGCAGGCCCCATTGTATTAAGAGGCAGTAGATTGGTTTAACTGAGAGAATTTGGGGATGTTTTTGTTTCAACTTTTAAGATTCTTAAAGACCCAAAGTGTATTTTCGTTGCTACTCTGTTTCTCTGAGTTTGAATTGTTTCTTCGGCCATTGCAATATTGTAGTAGCCCACCTAAATAGTAACTAAGAAAGGAAATTAAATGTGCTTTTTGCTTTGGCTGCTAATGTTTTCTCATTGCCTATGGCAAAACGGCATGCTGCATTGAGCTGCACTGCTCATGAATTTTCTTGTGCAGCTATTGATGAAATGCAAGCTTTAAATTTTTACAGAAATAATTGCAAAACAGTGATGTCCAAAAAAAAAAACCCTTTGCATTGTGATTTATGAGGATAAGAGACTGTGCTCTATAGAAAAAAACTGGGTTACACTTTTGACAAAAGAGTCCAACAGTAGGAACTGGTTCACATATTACCCGGTAGTTAAAATAGATCTTTTTGCAATGCGTAGAATTTGACTGCTTCAGACAGGATTTTACTTTTCTTCTGACATAAACATGTTGAAAACGGTGAGTATACTGTTAGTAGATGGCCTGTCTTAATGAACTGTGAAATACAGACTAGTTCTCTACTATATTTTAAAACAATGCAACAAGAAATAAACCAATTGCTCGTATATCAAAAAGTTCTCAAATAGGTAGTTGAAGTGCCTCATTCTGGGCTTGTGGATTGTTCAGGCACAGATACAACCTTCCCAAGTTTTCATTTTTCAAATGGTTTCAATGGATTCTTGGATTACAGTTTGCTCTTGGAGGTTTTGAATATTCAAGACTTAGTTTGGGATGCATTTGGATGGGCACAGGATACATGATATTTTGTTCTTGACTGAAACTTAAAATCAGCTGATTCCTTAAATATTTGTGATAGTTAAGAAGATGCCGTTTATAGATTTTCATCGAGTTTGTACTGTCAGTTGCTACTTGTATTTACTCAGGTCTTTTTTGTGAAAATAAAATCCACAAACATGTGAACAAGTGAGTTACTTAGGCATTGGATTTTGTGGTTTGTGCTGATGAGTAGGAGATACTGTAATGGAAGCAGTGAATTAAGATGCAGACTATTAAGTGCAGTGAAAAGAAGCTTTCTGGGATTTGTTTCACGTCCATATTCCCTTCTGTTTTGATGTCTGTAGATTTTTTCATGATACTTGACCATGATTTTGAGCTTCAGTCCCTTGATTTATTTTGATTGTTTAAACTCCTTTTTTTACCCAAAATATAGTTTCCATTTTTGGCTATGAGGCAGGTTCCTATAGAGGAATTCTGGAGCTTTCCTTGGCAAAAAGCGGCGATCCTTGGTGGAAGTGTCCTTCATAAATAGAACAGGATCCTAAGATTAGGCTGCAGATCAAGACTTCTTTGAAGATTAAGACTTCAATGTTCATAGCCAAGAGCTTCCAATACAGGACTAGGGTAAAGAAAAATGGGAGCCCTTTGTTCCTATGAGCTAATCAATGTTATGGTTGCAGCAAAGTGGGTAAACTGATTTGTCTGAAATCAATTCTTATGCCTCTTGATTTCTGGGACAGATTTAGCTGACCAGCCCCTCTAAAGTTGTACGCATTGGTGCATCTAATGCAAATATTTGATATATGATAATTGCAGAGCAATTGATTTCATAGGAAGTATGGCAAAGCACCTAGCTAGTTGTGGCTTACGGAGGCTGGGGCTGAGATTAATCTATGGTGGCAGGAAGCCTTCTGTTCAGACAGCTTCATCTCTAGAATTGATCCTAGGACCTATATCAGCCAGTGGTCAAATCTGAACATTTGAGAGGTGTGATGGAGAAGGCAGGTATAGCCCAGCACTCTGCCCTGCTCTTAGGTGAGAAGCAAAGTTGTTGCAAGCCCTGGCAAGGAAGGGTGTAGAGCTCCTTCTGGTCTGTGTGCAAGCAGTGACTTCTGGTACCTGGGGTTGGCAGCTGCGTTATCTGAGGCTCGCAGCTGGGTTACCTGTGTGGCTTTCTGTGGGGGATTAGTGTCCTTCTGGGTTGCTTTCCTGTGTGCCATGCATAGGGACACAGTAAAGGAAAAGCAGTGAGGTTTTAGGTGTTATCTGATGGGCTTATTTTGACTTTGGGTCAAAGTAAAAGGAGCATATATGACTGAACATATAATTAAGTCAGATTTAGGATTTAGTCAGAAGTTAACATTTAGAGAATGGTTGAAAAGTTACCAGTTTTGGACCAACCGTTTGCCATTGATATGTGCTATATTGGTGGGTCTTCCCAAATTACAGCTTTTTGTTCCTTTCTCTTTACTCACTTGTATCTGTTTCTCTCTCCATTTCATAGTTATAACCAACTCAATATCCACATGCTGGATTTATTTCTTTGTGTGTTTACATAGCTTTTTTTGGCTATCAAAATGAACCTACCTCACTTTTTTATTTTTTTGCCTTTTCTTGTAGCAGATGTGTCTAAAAGTAATTATAATGCTCCTAGAAATTAGTATTTTTGAAAATGTTTATTATCTATATGGCATCAAGCTTTAACTTCCTGATTTGTTTTTCTCTTGAGCTGAGACTTTGAAGAGCATGCAGTAAAGTAGTTCTTGAGTCTTAATATATTTAATCTGGCACCCCTATAGATTTTTACTACAGATAATATAAGAACCATAAGAACCAGTAAACAGTTGTATGTGTCTTTTTCTTTTTAGTGTAACTTGTGACAATGACGACTGAAGTTGGCTCCGAGACTGAAGTAAAGAAAGATTCTGAGCAGGCAGGAGCAGAGCAAGCCAAGGACAAGCCTGACGAAGCCTCACGTACTACAGAAGATCAAAAGTCCAGAAAAACATCCTCAGAAGAAGCTTTAGATTCGTCTTCTGTCCCAGTGCCAACTAGCCAAAGCAGCCCAAGTAGCCAGAAGAAGGAAAAGGATTCGTCTGAAAGCAAGGGTATTTCTCGCTTCCTGCCCCCATGGCTTAAGAAGCAAAAATCCTACACCCTGGCAGAGCCCAAAGAAGAGACCAAGAAAAAGGCTGTAGGGGAGGACCAAGCAATTGAAGTGAGTGACTGCCAGCTTCCCAAGGAGGGGCCTCAGCCAGAAAGGAGCTTAACGGAAGCAGCAACTGAAAAAGAGCACAACGCTAAAGCAGATGAGAAGGAGGAAAAGCGCTCTGTTAGCAGTGCTGAAACACAGGTAAATGTGTAAAACCTAATGAATACTTGGAGCAGTTTTAAGCGCTCTCGTTTCATAGTTTAACTCATGCAAAGTTTCATAAAAATTATGGCAGGGAAGGATGAGTATCACTTGGCTGCTTTTTTTTTGCCAGTGGGTTGATACCGTTATATGAGTAGTAAAGCTGGCTTTAAAAGTTCCTGCTCTGTGACAGATTATTTTTTGCCTGCAATAATTTCATCAAACTAATAAGAGTGTAACCTCACAAACACTTGTTTTGTAATAGTCCGAGGGGCAGGGGAATGAGCAGGGATGAAGGCAGAAACTTCTTAAGTCAGCTTTGTTTCTGAAGTGATTGTATCACACTAATACCCCTGTAGTAACTTAATCTATTTGTTATTTTTTTTAGTTAACTCAAAGTCCTTACAATCTCAGGTTTTTATGCTTTACTTTATCTCTACTGAAGCCATGCATGTGGCTAGTCTCCTTACTGATTCCCCTGGTGAGGTTGATGCTGAGTCTCAAGGCAAACCCTCTTTCTGTGATGCCCCAAAGTTTTGCTTTTGGAAAATTCACACATCTCTTCTTGAAACTCAAACCTCGTATTCCGTATAGCTTGACTTTTGTAAGCGCTGTCCCTTCATTTTGTTTAACTCCTGAAACTTCTCATTAAATTCTTTTGTGTTGGCAGTGGCGGGAGGAAGACGGAAGTCAATAAAATATAAATTCTTATTAAAAATAAAACGGTTGGGGGATAGAAAGGCACCATCTGTGGTCTGAGAGGAAGATGGGGGGGCGGGGGGGTGAAATCTGTGTTTCCAGTATCTTGTCCGCACATGGAAAACCTTAATCCTGGAACTGGTGGTTTTTAATCCAGTACCCTCATACCTTAATGAAAGGTTAATAAATAATGGCTTATTTATTGGTGGCAGTTAAAAGAAATGAAGAAACTATTAAGCAGGGCTCATTATTTAATTGTTTTTCATACAGCCTGCCAAGGAAGATGGTAAAGAAATAGAAGTTGAAAAAGTTGCTGAGGGAAAAGAAGAAAAACGAGTGGAAAAAGAAGAAAAGCAAGTAGAAAAAGAAAAGAGGGAGACCAAAGAGGTACAGACAGGTGAAATCAAAGCAGAGGGCATCCCCCAGAAGTCTCCCAAGAAAATTAAAACTGTGCCATGTAAAGTGATGCTTCTGGATGGCACAGAATACAGTTGTGATCTAGAGGTAAGGCATCAAGTCTTTACATAAAGAAATCTTTATCTGTATGGTAGGGAGGGGAAAGGCAGTGAGTACCGTATGCTTTCATTGCAGGGAGTTTAACAAATGAATTTTTGTTTTAGTAAATCCAATTAATTCAATTACAATGTTACGTTCACACAGCTATCGTTTAGGGTCAGTTAACCTTTCATTTCAAAACTCAGTCTTCAAGTCGTCCTTAGTTCATCCCCTGCATACCCTAGTAAATAAGATAAATGCATAAATAAATCATTTAGAAAGTGTTGTCATGTCTGTGATACGTGATATCAATTCATCTGTCCAAGTGTTTCCAAGAATATACTAACAGTTTTAAAACATTTCCTTTTGCGAACTCTTTGGACTACCCTGCTAATTCTGTTTCTGAGCCTGTGTTAATATTTGGCAAATTTTCTGTGAGTAGTTTCTGTCATAACAGTTGAAATGTTCCCTATTTCTCTAGATGAATAGTGACACATTTTTATTCTCCTATAACAGGTTTTTCTCCATTTTATTCAGGAATAGCACCAAGTCCCGGCTTGCTCTCCTAGGAGCTCATCCTTTTATTGAGTGTGAGCAACAGCCATGTTTGTATCTACAGGACCTACATGTATTGTCTATATACAGCAGCTGTTGCACATAAGAATTAACAGTACAAATAAAACAGTAAAGCCACATCCCTCTGCAAAAGCAGTAGAATTGGAAAAATTTGAACAGAAGGATCTTTTGCCACCTGCAAATCCTCATTTTCTCTAGAGAAAAATGCTACTTGCCTCTCCTTTCTTCCTTGGTTACTTTAGGACAATGCAGAAAATGATCAAAAGTGTAGCAGCAGATGCACTAGCATTATTTTTAAGGAGGAACTCCTCAGAAGAATTTGTAGTAATTTGTGGCAGTCAAAGCAGTTCCTCTCAAAAACCAAGTTCTCCTAGAGTTTGCTTAGATTGTGGCTTAAAGAAAATATTTTTTACTTTCAAAATATTTTTGTGACTTTTTATTTTTAAAAAGGTTTTGAAACCTTTCATTTCTGAAAAAAGTATTAGTTGTGCCTGGAGGAATGGAAGTCCGTCTGCACACTATAACATTTTCTGCAGCACAGGACATGCCATTACAGTTAGTTAACTGCACAATGGAAAAGCTCCCACGGAAGCTGAGGGAAGGCCCACAGCTGCAAGAAACTCAAAATCTAACACTATTTGTCCTGTGGTCTTTAACTTCTTGAAATTACTTGAATTTCAATAAGTACTTGAAATCTGCAAAAGGGAACTGGTGCTCCGTCTTTTGGTAAACATTCGTCTTAGGATTCATGTGTAAGCCAAACAAGTGTTCTTGGTAGAATCAAAGTTACTGCCTCTAGCAGCATGGAATATATGCTAGGTATGGACAGATCGCATGGCCCAGAACTCCAGTTACAGGGTAACTAACTTTGAGCTATAGAGCTCTATATAGAGCTATATAGAGCTAATGCAAAATAATGAGTACTTTTCCTCCTTAGGCAATGGAGTAGTCTCCACATGAACTAAACCATGTCCACAGTTCATCAGGGTGTCAGTCTGAGGCAGGAGCAGTCAAATTGTAGCTCTTGAGCTGCTCACAGTGATAGGGTGGTGCTAACAGAGTAGCCTATGAGAAATCTGCAGCTGGAAAACAGGAGCCAGTAATAACATCCATCACTCCTGGGTTTTGCTGGGATACATGCTGAGCCTGAAGTTATCCCATGGCACAGAGGGTGGGAAACCTGAGGAGATCATTCCCACCAGTAGCTCCTGAAGCTCCTCATGATTCTAAAAACTGGGCATGCCCTGCATTGTGTATGCATCTCATGGGATCATCCTTGACCTAATGAGTTAAAAGCTATTAAAATTTATTTTAAAACTTATTTATATTTCAATATGTTTATTTACTCTTTTAGTCTGAGCAAATCTATGTTCCAATAGGACTAGTATTAGTTAAGATGCAGCTTAAGGGCTAGCTTTACCTCAAATGAGGATTTTGAAGTGGCACCCGTTGTTGTGGTGCACAGTGTTTCCGAACACCCAGCTCTATCAGAGGGTGTTCCTGCACCTCGCTCGCTGTGCAGCGTCCCCCCGGGCAGATGGCAGCAGCGCAGTTTGCCTCGGCTGCAGCGTGCCAGCATCGCGAGCTATGGGCTGCTCAGCAGGTTTGGTGCTGTTTCCCACAGAGTAAAGAGAAGCAGGGAGCATTTGCTAAGCATTCACTGCTCACTGCCATTGGTAAGTCAGCCTACCATCGAACTATCCAAACCAACTCTAATCACTTAAATTAAATGGAAAGCATCATTTGTATTGCTACTGCAATGTGCATTTCTGCCGTTGTGCTTCAGTATTGGATATGAAAACTTTCAGGTGCTTGGACAACATAAAAGCAATTGAAAAGCAAAAAATGCCCTGGTGAGTACTGAGGAGAAGTTGATTCTGTGTAGCAAGATTTCTGTCCTCAAGAATTGGAAGCAGCAATATGAATATAGTACTCATCTCTAATCCCTGCAGGCTGGGGAAATCCTGTGACCCATAAGTTGCCAGTAGGTCAAGGAGGTGGGCTGCCAGTTTCACTCTCCTTTGTGCATTCTTACTGGCTTGTTTGCCCTGCAGTTGTGCATTCTGACATGCTAATGTTCACATCCTACTGCATCTTGCACACTCAGCCTCTGCCAACTCCTTCCACATGCAGTCAAATACTTTATATACATCAGAACCCCTTGTCTGTCCCTTCATCTCTTTCTTCCTCCTCTTATTTAGACTCTAGGCCCCAAAAGTCCCTGTCTCTTTGACTACCCCCAGAAATCATAGACTTGTAGGCAGAGTCATTTTGCTCATTTATTCCACCCTTTCACTAGTTACGTTTCCCTATTATTTGTAGTAAGCAAAGTTTTCTATAAGAACAAAAGCCAGAAATAAAGAGAGGGACAAAGTGGAAGACAGCAAATAATTCTGGAAACAACTTTCAAATATATGAAGGACTAGAAGGTAACTGAGAGTAGGCTTTTGTCAGGCATAAGTTCCCCTTCATAGAATCATAGAATCGTAGAATGCTTAAAGTTGGAAGGGACCTCTAGAGGTCACCTAGTCCAACCCCCCTGCACACGCAGGGTCACCTGGAGCACGTGGCATAGGACTGCATCCAAGCAGGTTTCGAAGATCTCCAGAGAAGGAGACTCCACAACCTCTCTGGGCAGCCTGTTCCAGTGCTCTGTCACCCTCACTGTTAAGAAATTTTTCCTTAAGTTCCTGTGGAACTTTTGGTGTTTCAGTTTGTGGCCATTACCTCTAGTTCTGTCGGTGGCCACCACTGAAAAGAGGCCAGCACCATCCTCCTCACTGCCTCCCTTGAGGTACTTATAGACACTGATCAGGTCCCCTCTCAGCCTTCTCTTCTCCAGGCTGAACAGGCCCAGCTCCCTCAGCCTCTCCTCATAGGGCAGATGTTCCAGGCCCCTGATCATCCTTGTAGCCCTGCGCTGGACTCTCTCCAGCAGCTCCACATCCCTCTTGTACTGTGGAGCCCAGAACTGGACACAATACTCCAGATGTGGCCTCACCAGGGCTGAGTAGAGGGGCAGGATCACCTCCCTCCTGAGAATCACTTTCCACACTAAGACGACTAGATTGGTAGATGAGGTGAGAGCAGGGGGTTTTACCTCAACTTCAGCTACAAAAAGCTAGGCTTTTGTTACTACTTCACATAATATCTTCATCAAAAAAGGCCTAGAAAAGTATACAGTGAGGTGGACTGAAAATTAGCTGAACTGTTGGACTCAGAGTTGTGTTCAGTGGCATGAAGTCCAGCTGGAGGCCAGTCACTAGTGCTTTCTCCCAGGGATTGAGGCCGAAGCTGTTAATAACCTGCACAGTTGCTGAGTCCAGCAAACCTTCAGCAAGTTTGCAGGTAATACAAAACAGGCAGCAGTGGTTGGTAGACCAGATAGTGCAGCTATGCAGAGGAACCTCAACAGACTGTAGAAATGAGCACAGAGGAATCTTATGAAATTCCACAAAGGATAATGGAAAGTTTAGACATAGTTCTTAATACTTTTTTGGACCAAACTCAAACATTACCTTGACAAAGAAATTAAGCTGTGTACTTCTGTGTCTGTCTGCTAGGAGTGTTCTGTAGCAGCATCTGTATCTGTAAATACTATGTTCCTTCATGGGCACAACTTGCTGCGAGGTCCTCTCGTCTTGATCTGTTTAATTCTCATTAAGTTTTCAACATAATTTGTTAGCATTTGAATACCAGTGTGATCACTTGAGCTTGAGTTTTGTTCTCCTTCCTTGTTTTTTCATTCTCATTGACATTGTCAATGCTTAGAGTCCTGGGGAAAAAGAAGCAGTAACAATACAGGTTTATACTGCAGTCAGTGGAAATAAGGATATTCTTTGAAGCCCTAACATCTCCCACCAAACAACTGATCTCATAACTCTTTCCGGTGTAGCTGAACAGAATACATCCAGGTTTTTCTTTCACAAGTGCCGATTCATTTTTGGAACCATGAGAAAAGTGAACCAGATCTGTTGTTCACAAAGAATGTCTGCAGAAAAGCTGTGTTCCCAGCCTAATGGTTAGTATTGCTTGTCCTATGTCATCCTTTGGGGAAAAAAACATTATTTTGAATTTTGTTTTCTTTTTAGGGAAAATAAAAATCCAAAATGTTTCACTTTCTTTCTTTTTCCCCTTTGAAACGAATGAGATCACTACCATTGATCCAGGAAGTACATTATATGAGGGGGGGGGGGGCAAAAAAAAAACCAAACACCTTAGGCCTTTTCATCAAGCCTATGGCTCTGACAAATACTCACCTTGCCTTCTTATTCTAGTTATGTTCCTTGTGCACCTGTATTTCATCCATATGCATCTAGTTAAAGCTTAGAAGTGAGGAGGTAATAGGGATCTGAGGAGTAATGCCCAGGTAGTTATATGTGACGTAGCATATAACAAGAAACATTTCAGAGTAAATTAAATCCTAATCTCTT